AGGCCGGGACGGAGCTCGGGCGGGGCGGGCCGCGGAGGGGAGCCGGGCCGGGGCCTGCCCGCGCCACTCGCGACTGCTCGGATCAATGGAGTGGGCGGGGGCGTCGCGCTCAGCCTGGAGCCGATTCAAACTGAGGGAGGCGGGGCTTGGCTTGAGCCGGGCCGGGGAGAGGGTATCCGGCAGCGTTCGGCAGAAGTCACGTGATGGCCGGCCGAAGGCCCAGTGTCCAATTTCCATTGATAAACGCTGTTTAGACAGCGAAACCTAAGGATGAGCGGAGCGGTCTTGTACGGAGGGAGCGTAAGCTCTGGGGGAGAAATAGGATTTGTGCGATGGCAGTTGGGGACTGCAGTGGCAAGGCAGAGTTTGTTCGTGAATGGAATTAAAAATTAGTTGGCCAACGGCTCAAGGCCGAAAGTACTCAGTATACAGAGGAAGCGGGGTTTTGGTAGTCTAATTCCCTAAACCACCAGTAAAATAGCTGAATTTAACGGCATAGTAGTCGCAATACGATAATTGAACGACAGAAGGGCTTTCCAAGGGAAGTGAATAAAGGCTAGGGGGCAGGCGCGCTGGAGCGACAGACACGCCTTTCGACCAGTAATCAGGCCAATTTCAATAAGTAGGCGTGCTCTTTAGCTGAGCGACAGACAGAAAGAGCCAGTGACCGACGTGATGCTTGAACCGCGACCAACCGGGAGGGCGGGTTCTCCCGGAGAAGCTCTGGGAGGCGGGAAGAGGGGAAGTGGGCGGATCTCCGCACACCCCGAAGGAAGAGGCAGATTCAGGAAGCCATTACGCCGCTGGCTGGCAGCGGCCGGGCGGGTCGGTGCTGGGCTGTACGCACTTTGCGTAGCGAGAGGGGTTTCCAAGGGCTTAGTACTTGGCCTAGAGTAAGCCGGACCTATCCCCTGTAGGGGGTAGGTGAGGGGCGAGGCTGGAAGGAGAGAAAGGAAACTGGGGAGATTGAGGGGATTATAATTTATTTTAAAAGAGGGGCGGGAGAGGCCATGGCCGTCCCAGCCAAGAAGAGGAAGATGAACTTCTCTGAGCGGGAGGTGGAGATCATCGTGGAGGAGCTGGAGCTGAAGAAGCACCTGCTGGTGAACCACTTCGACGCCGGGGTCCCTCTGGCCGCCAAGAGCGCGGCCGGGCACGGCATCCTGAGAAGGGTCAACGCCGTGGCCACCTGCCGCAGGGAGCTGCCAGAGGTCAAGAAGAAGTGGTCCGACCTCAAGAGCGAGGTCCGTCGCAAGGTGGCCCAGGTCCGGGCCGCCGTGGATGGAGCTGGCGGGCCTGGGACAGGCGGTGGCGGTGGCGGCAGTGGCCCAGCAGTAGCCCCTGTACTGCTGACCCCCATGCAACAACGCATCTGCAACCT